ATCTGGAATTGACCCTCCAAGAAGGACCGGAGCCACGACAGAGCCGTGCCCCCAAGACCCATCCCGGAGAGCCGTCCCAGAAGGATACCATGGTTGATGGTATTGAAAGCCACTGAGATGTCCAAGAGAACCAGGAGGGTCACACTCCCCCTGTCCAGCTCGATGCAGAGATCATCTACCAAGATGAACTGTGCATGACCTCTCCCAGCGGTTTCATGTAGATGTCAAATAGCATGGGAGACAGAATGGAGCCTTGCAGGACCCCACAGGTCAAGGACCAGGGCTCCGAGAAGGTGTCCCCCAGCTTCACCATCTGGAATTGACCCTCCAAGAAGGACCGGAGCCACGACAGAGCCGTGCCCCCAAGACCCATCCCGGAGAGCCGTCCCAGAAGGATACCATGGTTGATGGTATTGAAAGCCACTGAGATGTCCAAGAGAACCAGGAGGGTCACACTCCCCCTGTCCAGCTCGATGCAGAGATCATCTACCAAGATGAACTGTGCATGACCTCTCCTTGCGGTCTTGCGGGACCCCAGAGGTCAAAGACCAGGGCTCCGAGAAGGTGTCCCCCAGCTTCACCATCTGGAATTGACCCTCCAAGAAGGACCGGAGCCACGACAGAGCCGTGCCCCCAAGACCCATCCCGGAGAGCCGTCCCAGAAGGATACCATGGTTGATGGTATTGAAAGCCACTGAGATGTCCAAGAGAACCAGGAGGGTCACACTCCCCCTGTCCAGCTCGATGCAGAGATCATCTACCAAGATGAACTGTGCATGACCTCTCCTTGCGGTCTTGCGGGACCCCAGAGGTCAAAGACCAGGGCTCCGAGAAGGTGTCCCCCAGCTTCACCATCTGGAATTGACCCTCCAAGAAGGACCGGAGCCACGACAGAGCCGTGCCCCCAAGACCCATCCCGGAGAGCCGTCCCAGAAGGATACCATGGTTGATGGTATTGAAAGCCACTGAGATGTCCAAGAGAACCAGGAGGGTCACACTCCCCCTGTCCAGCTCGATGCAGAGATCATCTACCAAGATGAACTGTGCATGACCTCTCCTTGCGGTCTTGCGGGACCCCAGAGGTCAAAGACCAGGGCTCCGAGAAGGTGTCCCCCAGCTTCACCATCTGGAATTGACCCTCCAAGAAGGACCGGAGCCACGACAGAGCCGTGCCCCCAAGACCCATCCCGGAGAGCCGTCCCAGAAGGATACCATGGTTGATGGTATTGAAAGCCACTGAGATGTCCAAGAGAACCAGGAGGGTCACACTCCCCCTGTCCAGCTCGATGCAGAGATCATCTACCAAGATGAACTGTGCATGACCTCTCCTTGCGGTCTTGCGGGACCCCAGAGGTCAAAGACCAGGGCTCCGAGAAGGTGTCCCCCAGCTTCACCATCTGGAATTGACCCTCCAAGAAGGACTGGAGCCACGACAGAGCCGTGCCCCCAAGACCCATCCCGGAGAGCCGTCCCAGAAGGATACCATGGTTGATGGTATTGAAAGCCACTGAGATGTCCAAGAGAACCAGGAGGGTCACACTCCCCCTGTCCAGCTCGATGCAGAGATCATCTACCAAGATGAACTGTGCATGACCTCTCCTTGCGGTCTTGCGGGACCCCAGAGGTCAAAGACCAGGGCTCCGAGAAGGTGTCCCCCAGCTTCACCATCTGGAATTGACCCTCCAAGAAGGACCGGAGCCACGACAGAGCCGTGCCCCCAAGACCCATCCCGGAGAGCCGTCCCAGAAGGATACCATGGTTGATGGTATTGAAAGCCACTGAGATGTCCAAGAGAACCAGGAGGGTCACACTCCCCCTGTCCAGCTCGATGCAGAGATCATCTACCAAGATGAACTGTGCATGACCTCTCCCAGCGGTTTCATGTAGATGTCAAATAGCATGGGAGACAGAATGGAGCCTTGCAGGACCCCACAGGTCAAGGACCAGGGCTCCGAGAAGGTGTCCCCCAGCTTCACCATCTGGAATTGACCCTCCAAGAAGGACCGGAGCCACGACAGAGCCGTGCCCCCAAGACCCATCCCGGAGAGCCGTCCCAGAAGGATACCATGGTTGATGGTATTGAAAGCCACTGAGATGTCCAAGAGAACCAGGAGGGTCACACTCCCCCTGTCCAGCTCGATGCAGAGATCATCTACCAAGATGAACTGTGCATGACCTCTCCTTGCGGTCTTGCGGGACCCCAGAGGTCAAAGACCAGGGCTCCGAGAAGGTGTCCCCCAGCTTCACCATCTGGAATTGACCCTCCAAGAAGGACCGGAGCCACGACAGAGCCGTGCCCCCAAGACCCATCCCGGAGAGCCGTCCCAGAAGGATACCATGGTTGATGGTATTGAAAGCCACTGAGATGTCCAAGAGAACCAGGAGGGTCACACTCCCCCTGTCCAGCTCGATGCAGAGATCATCTACCAAGATGAACTGTGCATGACCTCTCCCAGCGGTTTCATGTAGATGTCAAATAGCATGGGAGACAGAATGGAGCCTTGCAGGACCCCACAGGTCAAGGACCAGGGCTCCGAGAAGGTGTCCCCCAGCTTCACCATCTGGAATTGACCCTCCAAGAAGGACCGGAGCCACGACAGAGCCGTGCCCCCAAGACCCATCCCGGAGAGCCGTCCCAGAAGGATACCATGGTTGATGGTATTGAAAGCCACTGAGATGTCCAAGAGAACCAGGAGGGTCACACTCCCCCTGTCCAGCTCGATGCAGAGATCATCTACCAAGATGAACTGTGCATGACCTCTCCTTGCGGTCTTGCGGGACCCCAGAGGTCAAAGACCAGGGCTCCGAGAAGGTGTCCCCCAGCTTCACCATCTGGAATTGACCCTCCAAGAAGGACCGGAGCCACGACAGAGCCGTGCCCCCAAGACCCATCCCGGAGAGCCGTCCCAGAAGGATACCATGGTTGATGGTATTGAAAGCCACTGAGATGTCCAGCAGAACAATTGATATTCATTGTGAAACATGCCTATCTGTTGCCATGATTCACATGTTTAACCATTTTGCCTAACAATCCCATTATATTATTATTATTATTACTACTAGTAGTAGTAACAGTTGTGAGAATTCAAAGCCTGGTCTCCAGAGTCCTCGTCAAAGCACTCCTCCAGCGCTGACTCTCAGGTTCACTTTAAGGTCTCATTAACCCAGAAATTGCACAATAACAACAACAAATTACATAAATGGAGCCATAATCAGCAGAGCCGCTAGATGTCAGGCTTTGAACATCAAGTCAAGCATTAAATTGAGCACTGCACACATAACAACTGAGCTGGAAAAAAGAAGTATCTGACTCTATACACTCGAGGCCAGTGTTTCTCAACCTTCCTAATGCCGCGACCCCTTAATACAGTTCCCCGTGTTGTGGTGACCCCCAACCACCACATTATTTTCGTTGCTACATCATTGTGATCTTCTTATGAATCGTAATGTAAATATCGGATAAGTATTTTCATTCAATGGATCGAATTTGGCACAAAACCCTGATACTCCCAAATATGAATACTGGTGGGGCTGGGGGGAGATTGATTTTGTGATTTGGGAGTTGTGGTTGCTGGGATTTATAGTTCTCCTACAATCAAAGAGCATTCTGAACTCCACCAATGATGGAATTGAACCAAACTTGGCACACAGAACTCCCACGACGAACAGAAAATACTGGAATGGTTTGGTGAGCATAGACCTTGAGTTTTGGAGTTGTAGTTCACCCACATCCAGAGAGCACTGTGGACTCTAACAATGATGGATCTGGACCAAACTTGGCATGAATCCTCAGTATACCCAAATATGAAAACTGGTGGAGTTTGGGGGAAATAGACCTTGACATTTGGGAGTTGTAGTTGCTGGGATTTGTAGTTCATACAATCAAAGAGCATTCTGAACTCCACCAATGATGGAATTGAACCAAACTTGGCACACAGAACTCCCACGACGAACAGAAAATACTGGAATGGTTTGGTGAGCATAGACCTTGAGTTTTGGAGTTGTAGTTCACCCACATCCAGAGAGCACTGTGGACTCTAACAATGATGGATCTGGACCAAACTTGGCATGAATCCTCAGTATGCCCAAATATGAATACTGGTGGAGTTTGGGGGAAATAGACCTTGACATTTGGGAGTTGTAGTTGCTGGGATTTATAGTTCATCTACAATCAAAGAGCATTCTGAACTCCACCAATGATGGAATTGAACCAAACTTGGCACTCAGAACTCCCATGACAACAGAAAATACTGGAAGGGTTTGGTGGGCATTGACCTTGAGTTTGGGAAGTTGTAGTTCACCTACATCCAGAGAGCACTGTGGACTCAAACAATGATGGATCTGGACCAAACTTGGCATGAATACTCAATATGCCCAAATATGAACACTGGTGGAGTTTGGGGAAATAGACCTTGACATTTGGGAGTTGTAGTTGCTGGGATTTATAGTTCACCTACAATCAAAGGTCATTCTGAAGCCCACCAATGATAAAATTGGACCAAAATTCTAATTTTAGAGCTTTTTAATACTGGCAGCCAGATTTTGTTCATTTTCAGCACAACAACAGCGAGGAAACAAACAAGGACATCTAATCACATCTCAACAAAAGATTGCTCCAGGCACTGCCAGGCAATCAAATGCTAATCAAGGTGGTCAGTTGAAACATTCACACCTAGCTCCAGCAGACAAGAGTCCTTTGTCCCACCCTGGTCATTCCACAGATATATAAACCCAATTTTCCTAGTTCCAACAGACCTCACTACCTCTGAGGATGCTTGCCATAGATGCAGGCGAAACGTCAGGAGAGAATGCCTCTAGAACATGGCCGTATAGCCCAGAAAAACCTACAACAACCCAACTTAGAGGGAGGGATTGTGAGTGATTTTCACTGAACCACAATTCCTATCTCGCTGCCCTTCAAGAGCCTGGTCCTCTCTGGGGTTTTGTCTGGTTTGGATCCGAGTTGCACGGCTAAGGCACCTGAAGCCCCTTCGAGTTACCTGCAAGTTGGAGTCTTGCACCAGCTGGAGCTGCTCCTTGATCACGTGCAGTTCTTCTTGCTGCGTCTTGATGTCGGCCTGCAAGATGCGGGTCCTTTCCTCCAGCTGTTCCTTCAGCTGATGCATCATCCCCATCTGGGCTGGGAAGTGATACACCGGCTGCAAGCACAGAAGGGACAACAGGCGTGTTACTCAGCCAGACCTTTGGAGCCACCATTTACACCAGGGATCCACAAACCTTTTAAACAGGTCACAGTTCCACAAACTGTTGCAGGGACAGATTATAATTTGGAAAAAGCACGGATGAATTTTTACGCACACTGCACATATCTTATTTGTAGTGCAAAAAAGCACTTAAAAACAATACAATAATTAAAATGAAGTACAATTTTAACAAATATAATCTTATTAGTATTTCAATGGGAAGTGCGGGTCTTCTTTTGGCTGATGAGAGAGGAGACCACACCTGGAATATTGTATGCAATTCTGGGCACCACAATTCAAGAGAGATATTGACTCTAAGCTGGAATGTGTCCAGAGAAAGAGGGCGACTCAAATGATCAAGGGTCTGGAGAACAAGCCCTATGAGGAGCGGCTTAAGGAGCTGGGCATGTTTAGCCTGAAGAAGAGAAGGCTGAGAGGAGATGATGAGCCATGTATAAATATGTGAGAGGAAGCCACAGGGAGGAGGGAGGGAGCAGATCAAGGGTCTGGAGAACAAGCCCTATGAGGAGCGGCTTAAGGAGCTGGGCATGTTTAGCCTGAAGAAGAGAAGGCTGAGAGGAGATATGATGAGGGCCATGTATAAATATGTGAGAGGAAGCCACAGGGAGGAAGGAGCAGATCAAGGGTCTGGAGAACAAGCCCTATGAGGAGCGGCTTAAGGAGCTGGGCATGTTTAGCCTGAAGAAGAGAAGGCTGAGAGGAGATATGATGAAGGCCATGTATAAATATATGCGAGGAAGCCAAAGGGAGGAGGGAGCAGATCAAGGGTCTGGAGAACAAGCCCTATGAGGAGCGGCTTAAGGAGCTGGGCATGTTTAGCCTGAAGAAGAGAAGGCTGAGAGGGGATATGATGAGGGTCATGTATAAATATGTGAGAGGAAGCCACAGGGAGGAGGGAGCAGATCAAGGGTCTGGAGAACAAGCCCTATGAGGAGCGGCTTAAGGAGCTGGGCATGTTTAGCCTGAAGAAGAGAAGGCTGAGAGGAGATATGATGAGGGCCATGTATAAATATGTGAGAGGAAGCCACAGGGAGGAGGGAGCAGATCAAGGGTCTGGAGAACAAGCCCTTTGAGGAGCGGCTTAAGGAGCTGGGCATGTTTAGCCTGAAGAAGAGAAGGCTGAGAGGAGATATGATGAGCCATGTATAAATATGTGAGAGGAAGCCACAGGGAGGAGGGAGCAGATCAAGGGTCTGGAGAACAAGCCCTATGAGGAGCGGCTTAAGGAGCTGGGCATGTTTAGCCTGAAGAAGAGAAGGCTGAGAGGGGATATGATGAGGGTCATGTATAAATATGTGAGAGGAAGCCACAGGGAGGAGGGAGCAGATCAAGGGTCTGGAGAACAAGCCCTATGAGGAGCGGCTTAAGGAGCTGGGCATGTTTAGCCTGAAGAAGAGACGGCTGAGAGGAGATATGATAGCCATGTATAAATATGTGAGAGGAAGCCACAGGGAGGAGGAGGGAGCAAGCTTGTTTTCTGCTTCCCTGGAGACCAGGACGCAAGGGAACAATGGCTTCAAACTACAAGAGAGGAGATTCCATCTGAACATGAGGAAGAACTTCCTGACTGTGAGAGCCGTTCAGCAGTGGAACTCTCTGCCCCGGAGTGTGGTGGAGGCTCCTTCTTTGGAAGCTTTTAAACAGAGGCTGGATGGCCATCTGTCAGGGGTGATTTGAATGCAATATTCCTGCTTCTTGGCAGAATGGGGTTGGACTCGAATTGTGGTGCCCAGAATTGGACATAATATTCCACGTGTGGTCTAACCAAAGAGGAATAGAGCATGGGGAGCATGACTTCCCTAGATGTTCAGATGGAATCTCCTTTCTTGTAGTTTGAAGCCATTGTTCCATTGCGTCCTAGTCTCCAAGGAAGCAGTAAACAAGCTTGCTCCCTCCTCCCTGTGGCTTCCTCTCACATATTTATACATGGCTATCATATCCCTCTCAGCCTTCTCTTCTTCAGGCTAAACATGCCCATCTCCTTAAGCCGCTCCTCATAGGGCTTGTTCTCCAGACCCTTGATCATTTTAGTCACCCTCCCCTGGACACATCCCAACTTGTCAACATCAATTGCGGTCCCCAGATCCCAATTTAAGGGCTGCCTGAAGCCACATCATTCATTTCCCTGTTGCTAAAAGTCATTGATCTAAGACGAAGGCAAGGAAAATCATTGCAACAAGCTCTCACAGCACACATTGCACAACAAAATTTGGAGAAAAAAATATGTTCCTAATTTTAAAGTATTATTTCCTGTTTAATTGTGCGGTCCTGACTGTGAAAGTAGTTCTTCAACTCTGAAAAGTTTGTTTTTGTGGCACAAACTATGTAGAATTGGTACGAATGGAGGGAAATCCATTAAAATCTAGGGCAGCTTCATATTATTATTATTATTATTATTATTATTATTATTATTATTATCTTTTCATAAACTTTTCCCATAACGTACCATAACCGTCTGCTGTGCGGGAACCGTGGGCTGTGCCATATGATGCTGCGGGAGATGCTCGGTGGGCGTTTGGGGTGTTGTTATTCCCTTCAAAAGAAAGAAAGAAAGAAAGAAAGAAAGAAAGAAAGAAAGAAAGAAAGAAAGAAAGAATGTAAGAAGAGAAAAGAGGGAGAGACGGATTCATAACACACCCAATGCAAGAATGAATAAGACTGTCTTACTTTTCGTGCAACACACACATCCAGAATCTGTATTTTTGTAATACTGGTAGCCAGATTTTCATGCTTTCCTGCTTTCTGTTGAAATTGTCCACATGCACGCATCTATCAGGGACGGCTAATACCTCCCAACAAAGGATTCCCCCCGGCAGGAACGACTTCCCGTGGGAGTTGTAGTTTCCCAAGGTCCATACCCTTTTCTGGGTGCATTTCCACTATGAAATGAATCCTCTTGAACCCTATTTTAAATATCATAGTTCCATACTATATGGTCCTAGAGTTATAGTATCCCAAGATCCATACTCTTCTCTGGAAGCATCTGCACCAGAGAATAAATGCAGCTTGGACCCATATGATGATGATGATGATGATGATGATGATGATGATGATTATTATTATTATTATTATTATTATTATTATTATCATGCCATGTCTCCATGGATGCAACATGTAGTGTTTGAACAGACTGAGCATGCTCAGAACTTCTCAGATCTCGATTAGCATTAGATGGCCTGATGATTTTTAGGTGTGGCTTGTTACTGCCTGGGGGAATCCTTTGTTGAGAGGTGATTAGCTGTCCCTGATTGTTTCTGGTCTAGAGTTCCCCTATGTTTGAGTTTTTTTTTAATTTACTGTTATAATTTTAGTGTTTTTCCTGTGTTTTTATGATAGAACCAATCAGCAAACGACGTTGTTAAGCCAGGAACAAAAACAGTGTTACATAGTGTAATCAGTTGATGGCTTGAGTCCACCATAGAAACAATGAAATGCATTGTCGAAGGCTTTCATGGCTGGAATCACTAGGTTCTTGTGGGGTTTTTCGGGCTATAGAGCCATGTTCTAGAGGCATTTCTCCTGACGTTTCGCCTGCATCTATGGCAAGCATCCTCAGTAGTCTGACTGTTGGAAATAGGACAATGGGTTTATATATCTGTGGAATGACTGGGGTGGGGCAAAGAGCTCTTCTCTGCTGAGCTAGGTGTGAATGTTTCAACTGACCACCTTCATTAGCATTTGAAGGCCTGGCTGAGCCTGGGAAAACTTTTGTTGAGAGGTGTTAAGATGTGCCTGGTTGTTTCCTCTCTGTTGTTTTGCTGTTGTAATTTTAGAGTTTTTTAATACTGGTAGCCAGATTTTGTTCATTTTCATGGTCTCTTCCTTTCTGTTGAAATTGTCCACATGCTTCTTGTGGATTTCAATGGCTTCTCTGTGTAGCCTGACATGGTGGTTGTGAGAGTGGTCCAGCATTTCTGTGTTCTCAAATAATCTGCTGTGTCCAGGTTGGTTCATCAGGTGCTCTGCTATGGCTGACTTCTCTGGTTGAAGTAGTCTGCAGTGCCTTTCATGTTCGTGGATTCTTGTTTGGGCGCTGCGTTTGGTGGTCCCTATGTAGACGTGTCCACAGCTGCATGGTATACGGTAGACTCCTGCAGAGGTGAGAGGATCCCTCTTGTCCTTTGCTGAACGGAGCATTTGTTGGATTTTCCTGGTGGGTTTGTAGATTGTTTGTATGTTGTGTTTCCTCATCAGCTTCCCTCTGCGGTCAGTGGTTCCCTTGATGTCTGGCAAGAACCCTTTCCCTCTGGGTGGATCTTGTCTTGACTCTCGTGGCTTCTTCTCGGTGGTCTTGCAGCTCTTCTGATGTCTGAGGTGGAGTCTCCCTTGGCCTGGAGAGCCCAGTTGAGGTGGTTCAGTTCATCTTGGAGGAGGTGGGCTTCGCAGATTCTTTTTGCACGGTCTGCCAAGGCAATGGATCCTCTCACCTCTGCAGGAGTCTACCGTATACCATGCAGCTGTGGACAAGTCTACATAAGGACCACCAAACGCAGCATTGCCCAGACACGAATCAAGGAACATGAAAGGCACTGCAGACTCCTTCAACCAGAGAAGTCAGCCATAGCAGAGCACCTGATGAACCAACCTGGACACAGCATATTATTTGAGAACACAGAAATGCTGGACCACTCCAACAACCACCATGTCAGACTACACAGAGAAGCCAATGAAATCCACAAATCAACAGAAAGGAGGAAACCATAAAAATGAACAAAATCTGGCTACCAGTATTAAAACTCTAAAGTTAGAACAGCAACAACAGAGAGGAAAAACCAGGCACAGATTAACACCTCCCAGCAACAGATTTTCCCAGGCTCAGGCAGGCCTTCAAATGCTAATGAAGGTGATCAGCTAAACATTCACACCTAACTGCAGCAGGGAAGAGCTCCTTGCCCCACCCCAGCCATTCCACAGATATATAAACCCATTGTCCTAATTCCAACAGACCTCACTACCTCTGAGGATGCTTGCCATAGATGCAGGCAAAACGTCAGGAGAAATGCCTCTAGAACATGGCCCTATAGCCCGAAAAAACCCACAAGAACCTAATGAAATGCAATCACTTCCTTGGTTTCTCGGTGGCTTTTTGGAGAGGTGGCCATAACTTACGGGTGTGCTGCTGCTTGAAGGAAGCCTCAAAGGCGTCTTCTCCGATGGCCCCATGGGCAACGACTGCCGCGTCGGAGTGCTGGCTTCGGTGTGCCGAATGGAGGACGTGGCTGCAAAGGAGAAGAAGCAATGGTGAAGGGATGTGTTGACAACGAGAGAATTGGTGCGCAAAAGGGCTTTCTAGCTCCAACCCCACCCTAAGCATTCGTGGAGATGTTGAACATGCAACTAGGTTTAGCCCCGAAGAGGGGAGATAGTTTCCCTCCATGAATAACTCCACGAATACGCTGGGGAAATCCTTGCAAGAATCCTTGCAAACCGCCTTCTACCCCTCTCAGAAGACACCCTCCTTCTAACAAAACAGAGGTATTACGTCTCTGCTTGTGGGTAAACAGTATTTCTTGCTGTTTCTTTGTCAGTGTTGATGTGGAGAGTGTCTGGTTTGCTCACTCTGGAACATGCAACATATCGTTGTCCTTCTTTAGGGGTCCCTTTCAAATCTGTGATACTATATCTGTGTGTGTGTGTGTGACAGAATCATCTATCTATCTATCTATCTATCTATCTATCTATCTATCTATCTATCTATCTATATTTATGACTGGATGGCTCTTGTCAGGAGGGCTCTGATTACATTTTCTTGCCCTGGTGAAGAGAGTTGGACTGGATGGCCTTAAGTATTTTCTGTTGGTCATGGGGGTTCTGTGTGGGAAGTTTGCCCCATTTCTGTCGTTTGTGGGTTTCAGAATGCTCTTTAATTGCAGTAACTACAAATCCCAAATGTCAAGGTCTATTTCCTCCAAACTCCATCTGTGTTCATGTTTAGGCATATGGAATTTTTGTGTCAAGTTTGGTCCAGATCCATCATTGTTTGAGTCCACAGTGCTCTCTGGATGTAGGTGAACTACAACTCCCAAACTCAAGGTCAATGCCCACCAAACCCTTCCAGTGTGTTCTGTTGGTCATGGAAGTCCTGTATGCCACGTCTGGTTCAATTCCATCATTGGTGGAGTTCAGAATGCTCTTTGATTGTAGGTGAACTATAAATCCCAGTAACTACAACTCCCAAATGTCAAGGTCTATTTTCCCCCAAACTCCATCTGTGTTTATATTTGGGCATATTGAGTATTCAGTGCCAAGTTTGGTCCAGATCCATCATTGTTTGAGTCCACAGTGCTCTCTGGATGTAGGTGCACTACAACTCCCAAACTCAAGGTCAATGCCCACCAAACCCTTCTGTTTTCTGTTGGTCATGGGAGTCCTGTGTGCCACCTTTGGTTCAATTCCATCATTGGTGGAGTTCAGAATGCTCTTTGATTGTAGGTGAACTATAAATCCCAGTAACTACAACTCCCAAATGTCAAGGTCTATTTCCCCCAAACTCCACTAGTGTGTTCACATTTGGGCATATTGAGTGTTTGTGCCAAGTTTGGTCCAGATCCATCATTGTTTGAGTCCACAGATGTAGACGAACTACAACTCCCAAACTCAAGATCCACCAACAATAGAATTGGATCTAACTTTCCACACGTAACCCAGATGACCAAGAGAAAATATTGTGTTTTCTTATGGTCTTTGGCGACCCCTCTGGCACCCCCTCGCAAGCCCCCCAGGGGTCCCGACCCCCAGGTTGAGAAACGCTGTCCTAGTTCAAACAGACCTCACTACCTCTGAGGATGCTTGCCATAGATGCAGGTGAAACGTCAGGAGAGAATGCCTCTAGAACTTGGTCTTATATCCCAAAAAAACTTACAACAACCCAAGAAAGTGGCGGTTGGGCAGATATAAACAAGGCTTCCCCTTTTCAGAGGCTTGTTGACTGAGATATGAATCCTTGGCCCAACCGGGCGGTCCATGTTCTCTTGTGATTGTGTCGCGAAAGCCACGGCCGGCCGCCCCCTTTCTGTGCTTAGTCCTTGCTAGCGGATTAATCCCAGCGCCAGTCATGTGCCGGGTGTTTTGCAGTGAGGAGGGTGGGAAGAGCCGAAGATAAACCCAGCCGCTTAGGAAGTGCCGCGTTCCCGAACCTTGTGTTCTTTCCTCCCGTGTCCTGTCCCTCTTGCGATGGAAGCAGATTGCCAGATTGGGGCCTAATCCTTGGGTCTTGGTTCAGCCACAGAAGGGAGCAGGCTGTCCTTTTCCCGCATCGTGCGCACAAAGGAAAGGCTTTCCGTGCTCTGCTCTTCCGCCAAGGCGGTTAATGCGTCTGTTTCAGCTGATTTTAGTCCTATAGATTAGTTTGGTTGCATGGATGGGAAAGACGTTCTGTGCCTCTAGGCTAGCGCTTCTCAAGCTGGGGGTTGGGACCCCTGGGGGGAGTTGTGAGGGTCTTTCAGAGGGGTCGCCAAAGACCATCCGAAAACACAGTATTTTCTGTTGGTCATGGGGGTTCTGTGTCAGAGGTTTGGCCCAATTCTATCTTTGGTGGGGTTCAGAATGCTCTTTGATTGTAGGCGAACTATAAGTCTCAGCAACTACAATTTCCAAATATCAAGGTTGATTTCCCCCAAACTTCATCTGTGTTCAGATTTGGGCATATTGAGTATTCATGCCGGATTTGGTCCAGATCTATCATTGTTTGAGACCACAGTGCTCTCTGGATGTGGTGAACTACAACTCCCAAACTTACGGTCAATGCCCACAAACCATTCCAGTATTTTCTATTGGTCATGGAAGTTCTGTGTGCAAAGTTTGGTTCAATTCCATCGTTGGTGGAGTTCAGAATACTCTTTGATTGTAGGTGAACTATAAATCCCAGCAACTACTACTACCAAACTTACAGTCAATGCCCACAAACCATTCCAGTATTTTCTGTTGGTCATGGGAGTTCTGAGAACCAAGTTTGGTTCAATTCCATCATTGGTGGAGTTCAGAATACTCTTTGATTGTAGGTGAACTATAAATCCCAGCAACTACAACTCCCAAACTTACGGTCAATGCCCACAAACCCTTCTAGTGTTTTCTGTTGGTCATGGGAGTTCTGTGTGCCAAGTCTGATTCAATTCCATCTTTGGAGTTCAGAATACTCTTTGATTGTAGGGGAACTATAAATCCCACCAAACCCTTCCAGTATTTTCTGTTGGTCATGGGAGTTCTGTGTGCCAAGTTTGGTTCAATTCCATCATTGGTGGAGTTTGGAATACTCTTTGATTGTAGGTGAACTATAAATCCCAGCAACTACTACTACCAAACTTACAGTCAATGCCCACAAACCATTCCAGTATTTTCTGTTGGTCATGGGAGTTCTGTGTGCAAAGTTTGGCTCAATTCCACCATTGGTGGAGTTCGGAATACTCTTTGATTGTAGGTGAACTATAAATCCCAGCAACTACAACTCCCAAACTTACGGTCAATGCCCACAAACCCTTCTAGTGTTTTCTGTTGGTCATGGGAGTTCTGTGTGCCAAGTCTGATTCAATTCCATCTTTGGAGTTCAGAATACTCTTTGATTGTAGGGGAACTATAAATCCCACCAAACCCTTCCAGTATTTTCTGTTGGTCATGGGAGTTCTGTGTGCCAAGTCTGATTCAATTCCATCTTTGGAGTTCAGAATACTCTTTGATTGTAGGGGAACTATAAATCCCACCAAACCCTTCCAGTATTTTCTGTTGGTCATGGGAGTTCTGTGTGCCAAGTTTGGTTCAATTCCATCATTGGTGGAGTTTGGAATACTCTTTGATTGTAGGTGAACTATAAATCCCAGCAACTACAACTCCCAAATGACAAAATCAATCCACCACCCAACGCCACCAGTATTCAGATTTGGGTGTATCAGGTATTTCATTCACTGGCCAAATTTGGTTCAGTGAATACATCTTGCATATCAGATATTTACATCATAACTGTAGCAAAGTTCCAGTTATGAAGTAGCAACAACAATAATGTTATGGTTGCGGGTCACCACAACAGGAGGAACTGTATTAGGGGTCGCGACATTAAGAAGGTTGAGAACCACTGCTCTAGGCGCTTATCCCTTTTTAATTTGGGCTTACCACTTTGAGAAAAAAGTCAGGATCTAAAATCATCGTTGTCGCCGTCAGCACGGACCCGTTTTCTGAAATGCCTCCTTTCGGAGTCGGGAAAAGGATCCCTCTTGATCCAAGATCCTCATTAGTGTTTGCAAGTGGTTCTCAACCTTCCTAATCATGCAACCCCTTCATACAGCTCCTCATATTGTTGTGACCTCTCAACCACAACATTATTTGGGTTGCTACTTCATAACTGTCATTTTGCTCCTGTTATGAAGTGTCGTGTAAACATCTGATCTGCAAGATGCTTCTTCTTCGTCTTGGAAAGAAGTGGCGAGTGGAGTGCCGCAGGGTTCCATCCTGGGCCCGGTCCAGTTCAACATCTTTATTGATGACTGAGATGAAGGGTGAGAAGGCAGGATCATCAAGTTTGCAGACGACACCAAATTCAAAGGGATCTTGGCAGATTAGAGAGATGATGGGCCAAAACGAACAAAATGAAGTTCAACAGGGACAAATGCAAGATACTCCACTTTGGCAGAAAAAACGAAATGCAAAGATACAGAATCGGGGACGAGGCCTGGCTCGAGAGCAGTATGTGTGAAAAAGATCTTGGAGTCCTCGTGCACAAGGAAGTTGAACATGAGCCAACAATGTGATGTGGCGGCAAAAAAAGCCAATGGGATTTTGGTCTGCATCAATAGGAGCCTAGTGTCTAGATCCAGGGAAGTCATGCTACCCCTCTATTCCGCTTTGGTTAGACCACACCTGGAATATTGTGTCCAATTCTGGGCACCACAATTCAAGAGAGATATTGACAAGCTGGAATGTGTCCAGAGGAGGGCGACTCAAAATGATCAAGGGTCTGGAGAACAAGCCCTATGAGGAGCGGCTAAAGGAGCTGGGCATGTTTAGCCTGAAGAAGAGAAGGCTGAGAGGAGATATGATAGCCATGTATAAATATGTGAGAGGAAGCCACAGGGAGGAGGGAGCAGATCAAGGGTCTAGAGAACAAGCCCTATGAGGAGCGGCTTAAGGAGCCGGGCATGTTTAGCCTGAAGAAGAGAAGGCTGAGAGGAGATATGATAGCCATGTATAAATATGTGAGAGGAAGCCACAGGGAGGAGGGAGCAAGCTTGTTTTCTGCTTCCCTGGAGACTAGGATGGAACAATGGCTTCAAACTACAAGAGGGGAGATTCCATCTGAACATGAGGAAGAACTTCCTGACTGTGAGAGCCGTTCAGCAGTGGAACTCTCTGCCCCGGAGTGTGGTGGAGGCTCCTTCTTTGGAAGCTTTTAAACAGAGGCTGGATGGCCATCTGTCAGGGGTGATTTGAATGCAATATTCCTGCTTCTTGGCAGAATGGGCTTGGACTGGATGATGGCGCAGGAGGTCTCTTCCAACTCTAGGATTCTAGGATTCTATGACTGGACATTGGTCATTGTTTGGGTCCTCTTATCACATTCCTGGCTCATGTTCACCTTCCTCCCCACGAGGACTCCAAGGTCTTTTTCACACGTGCTGCTCTCGAGCCAGGCCTCATCGTCCCCCATTCTGTCTCTTTGCATTTCGTTTTTTCTGCCTAAGTTGAGTCTCTTGCATTTGTCCCTGTTGAACTTCATTTTGTTAGTTTTGGCCCATCATCTCTCTAATCTGTCAAGATCGTTTTGAATCCTGCTCCTGTCCTCTGGAGTCTTGGCTCTCCCTCCCAATTTGGTCCCGTCTGCAAACTTGATGATCCTGCCTTCTAACCCTTCATCTAAGTCATTAATGAAGATCCTGAGCAGGACCGGGCCCAGGACGGAACCCTGCGGATGGCACTCCACTTGTCACTTCTTTCCAGGATGAAGAGGAGGAAGCCTTGGGGAGAATCACCCTCTGGGTTCGTCCATTTAACCAATTCCAGATCCACCTCACCGTAGTTTTGCCTCGCCCACCTTGGACTAGTTTCCTTGCCAGAAGGTCATGGGGGACCTTGTCAAAGAAGGCCTTCCTGAAATCCAGACACGCTCACATCCACGGCATTCCCCGCATCTACCCAGCTTGTAACTCTATCGAAAAAAGAGATCAGATGAGTCTGGCATGACTTGTTTTTGATAAATCCATGTTGACTATTAGCGATGACCGCATTTGTTTCTAAGTGTTTGCAGACCACAGTCAGCCTGACATCAGGACCAGGAGCAGATCTTGAAGGAGGCAGTCTGTAATCCTTTAGGAAGAAATGTTGGGATCACAAAAAGTCAGCAGGGATTCCTCAAAAACAAGTAATGATAGACTCATCTCTTTTTTGATGGAGTTACAAGCTTGGTAGATGCAGGAAATTGCGTGGATGGAGCAGATCTTGAATCCAGGAAGGCCTTCAACTTCCTGGAGTCATCTATTCATCATGGAGGATGATATATATATATGTACCATGGACGATGGGACTTGCAATACCTGCACTCACTTCCTAAGACCATTACAACTACCAACAATGATGGATCAGGAACACAATTTACACAGAGAGCCCGCATGACCCACTCTACATCCTGGTGAGGTTTGGAAGAATTTGACAATGGATGATGGGACTTGCAGTCACTTCACTCACTTCCTGAGACCACTGAGACCCTCACCAATGACTGATCAAGACCAAACTTGGCACACAGTGTCCCCATGTCCCACTCTACATCCTGGTGCGGGTTGGAAGAATTTGACAATGGATGATGGGACTTGCAGTCACTTCACTCACTTCCTGAGACCACTGAGACCCTCACCAATGACTGATCAAGACCAAACATGGCACACAGTGTCCCCATGTCCCACTCTACATCCTGGTGCGGGTTGGAAGAATTTGACAATGGATGATGGGACTTGCAGTCACTTCACTCACTTCCTGAGACCACTGAGACCCTCACCAATGACTGATCAAGACCAAACTTGGCACACAGTGTCCCCATGACCCACTCTACATCCTGGTGCGGTTTGGAAGAATTTGACAATGGATGATGGGACTTGCAGTCACTTCACTCACTTCCTGAGACCACTGAGACCCTCACCAATGACTGATCAAGACCAAACTTGGCACACAGTGTCCCCATGACCCACTCTACATCCTGGTGCGGTTTGGAAGAATTTGACAATGGATGATGGGACTTGCAGTCACTTCACTCACTTCCTGAGACCACTGAGACCCTCACGCCAATGACTAATCAAGACCAAACTTGGCACACAGAGCCCCCATGACCCACTCTACATCCTGGTGCGGTTTGGAGGAGGATGGACCATGGATGATGGGACTTGCAGTACACCTGCACTCCCTTCCTGAGACCATTACAACTGCCAACAATGATGGATCAGGACCACAATTCACACAGAGAGCCCGCATGACCCACTCTACATCCTGGTGCGGTTTGGGAGAATTTGACAATGGATGATGGGACTTGCAGTCACTTCACTCACTTCCTGAGACCACTGAGACCCATGCCAATGACTCATCAAGACTAAACTTGGCACATGGAGCTTCAATGACCCACTCTACATCCTGGAGCAGTTTGGAGGACAGACCATGGATGATTGGGACTAGCAGTACCTTCACTCATTTCCAGAGACCGCTGAGACCCACACCAAACTGATCAAGGCCAAATTTGACACAAAAGACGACAATTCACACAGAGAGCCCGCATGACCCACTCTACATCCTGGTGCGGTTTGGAAGAATTTGACAATGGATGATGGGACTTGCAGTCACTTCACTCACTTCCTGAGACCACTGAGACCCTCACCAATGACTGATCAAGACCAAACTTGGCACACAGAGTCCCCATGACCCACTCTACATCCTGGTGCACTTTCGAGGAGGACAGACCATGGATGATGGGACTTCAAGTACCTCCACTCCCTTCCCAAGACTGCTGCAACCCTCATCTAATGTCCGATCAAAACCAAACTTGGCACACAGAGCCCCCATGACCCACTCTAGAGGAGGAACCATTGCGGAGAAACACCTTTTGGGTTCCGTTGCTCCAACAAGGACAGGTCTACCTGATGGTAGCCTTGCCTGGCCCACATTGGACTAGTTTTGACTAGTTAGCCCACATTGGACTAGTTTGCTTGCAAGGTCCCTTCGTTTGGCTGCTCCACACGGTACTTACACGCAGAGTCCGAAAGTGCCGTGTGTGAGGATCGACGGGAACTGGGCGAGGAGGCGGAGAGCCTTTCGCAGCTGGGCTCCTGGTTGGGAGCGCACTGGCGGATGTCGATGTAACTCCCGTGACTCTGGAAAGAAGCCAAGCAAGCATTGCATTATTTATGTATTTATTTATTTACGACATTTATATGCCGCTCTTCGCACCCCGAAGGGGACTCAGAGTGGCTTACGAGATATATATATATATATATATATATATATATATATATAATATATATATATAAATGCTCTGTACATAATGAGTACCTTAAAAACAAAAGAACCAATGAACGAAATCACACCAAATTTGGCAACAAAACGTCTCACACCACAAGGAGTGACCATCACTCAAAAATTATGATTTCGTCATTTGGGAGTTGTAGTTGCTGGGATTTATAGTTCACCTCCAATCAAAGAGCATTCTGAACTCCATCAACGATGGAATTGAACCAAACTTGGCACACAGAACTCCCATGACCAACAGAAAATACTGGAAGGGTTTGGTGGGCATTGACTTTGAGCTTTGGGAGTTGTAGTTCACGTACATCCAGAGAGCACTGTGGACTCAAACAATGATGGATCTGGACCAAATTTGCCACGAATATTCCATATGCCCAAATATGAACACAGATGGAGTTTGGGGGAAAGAAACCTTGACATTTGGGAGTTGTAGTTACTGGGATTTATAGTTCACTTACAATCAAAGAGCATTCTGAACCCCACCAATGAAAGATTTGGGCCAAACTTCCCACACAGAAAATACTATTTTCTGATGGTCTTTGGCGACCCCTCTGACACCCCCTTGCGACCCCCCCGAGGGGTCCCGACCCCCAGGTTGAGAAACACTGAGTTGACCCAATAACTGCAAAGCAAGGAAAGCCATCTAACTGCAAAGGCATAGAACTTTGTTTTTGGAGTTGTAGTTCACCTACATCCAGAGATCACTGTGGACTCAAACAATAATGGATCTGGACCAAACGCTACAGGAATACTCAATATGCACAAATGTGAACACTGGTGGAGTTTGGGGCAAATAGAATCTTGACATTTGGGAGTTGCAGTTGCAGGGATTTATAGTTCACCTACAATCAAAGAGCATCTGAACCCCACCAAGGATGGAATTGAACCAAACTTGGCACACAGGACTCCCCTGACCAACAGAAAATACTGGAAGGGTTTGGTGGGCAGTGTCCTTTGGTTTTGGAGTTGTAGTTCACCTACATCCAGAGATCACTGTGGACTCAAACAATGATGGATCTGGACCAAACTCTACACGAATACTCAGTATGCCCAAATGTGAACACTGGTGGAGTTTGGGGCAAATACAATCTTGACATTTGGGAGTCGTAGTTGCTGGGATTTATAGTTCACCTACAATAACAGAGCATTCTGAACCCCACCAACAATAGAATTGGGCCAAACCTCCCACACAGAACCCCCATGTGGGCCAAAGCAATGCGTGGCAGGGGACGGCTAGTAATAAAATAATAATAATAATAATAATAATAATAATAATAATAATAATAAATCAGTGGAGAACTACAGAGACTATTCTGGAGAAAGGCTGAAGAAGCTGCAAAAAGTTTTTGTCAACAGTTTTGCATTTCTTCTGCCACTTTTGCATCTTGATATGAAAACACTGCCAGTGGTTTATTTTTGACACGTTAACTGAGTTGACCCTGTTAACTGGGCAGCCGTGACGAGGCCGGATTGATTATTTCAGAAGGCAATGGAAAGTGTCGTCATGGCCACAGTCCTGCCATGACACCCAAAGAGCATGAGGCCGGGCGCTCATACGGAGGGAAAACAGATCAATGCACCATCGTCCGTCCCGCACTCTCAGTCTCGGATACAAACTGGTGAGTCAGCACAGAGGCCCCACAGGTGAAAGGGAAGCTTCCAGACATTTCATTTCACATATGGGGCAATATGATGATGCTGCCAAGGTGATGCATGCCATATGCCAGCAAATATGGAAAACACAAGAATGGCCATCAGACTGGAAAAAATCAACTTCTATCCCCATACCAAAAAAGGGAAATGCAAAAGACTGCTCCAACTTCCGTACAGTGGCCCTTATTTCTCCTCATGCCAGGAAGGTAATGCTCAAGATCCTGCAAGGAAGAAGACTCCAGCAATACATGGAGAGAGAGTGGCCAGATGTTCAAGCTGGGTTCAGAAAAGGCAGAGGAACCAGAGACCAGATTGCCAATATCCGGATGCTGGAGAATGGAGAAAAGCAGGGAGTTTCAGAAAAACATCTATTTCTGCTTCATTGACTATTCTAAAGCCTTTGACTGTGTGGATCATAATAAATTGTGGCAAGTTCTTGGTGGGATGGGCATCCCAAGCCCCCTTCCCTCTCTCCTGAGGAATCTGTACAAGGACCAAGGAGCAACAGTCAGAACTGACCACGGAACACAGACTGGTTCAAGATTGGGAAAGGCGTACGGCAAGGCTGCATCCTCTCACCCAACCTTTTTAACTTGTATGCAGAACACATCATGCGAGGATGTGCGGGGCTTGAGGAATGCAAAGCTGGGGTGAAAATGGCTGGAAGAAACATTAACAACCTCAGATATGCAGATGACACCACTCTGATGGCCGAAAGCGAGGAGGAGCTGAGGAGCCTTCTAATCAAGGTGAAAGAAGAAAGCGCAAAAGCCGGGTTGCAGCTAAACGTCAAAAAAACCAAGATTATGGCAACAAGAATGATTGACAACTGGGAAATAGAGGGAGAAAACGTGGAGGCCGTGACAGGGTTTGTATTTCTAGGTGCAAAGATGAGTGCAGATGCAGACTGTGGCCAGGAAATCAGGAGACGCTTCCTTCTTGGGAGGAGAGCAATGTCCAGTCTCGATAAAATAGTAAAGAGTAGAGACATCAGACTGGCAACAAAGATCCATTGCCTAGTCAAAGCCATGGTATTCCCTGTAGTCACCTACGGATGTGAGAGCTGGACCTTAGGGAAGGCTGAGCGAAGGAAGAGATGCTTTTGAACTGTGGTGTTGGAGGAAAGTTCTGAGAGTGCCCTGGACTGCGAGAAGATCCAACCAGTCCATACTTCAGGAAATAAAGCCCGACTGCTCATTGGAGGGAAGGAGACTAGAGGCAAAGATGAAGTCCTTTGGCCACATCATGAGGAGACAGCAAAGCCTAGAGAAGGGAATGATGCTGGGGAAAGTGGAAGGCAAAAGGAAGAGGGGCCGACCAAGGGCAAGGTGGATGGACGGCATCCTTGAAGTGACTGGACTGACCTTGAAGGAGCTGGGGGTGGTGACGGCCGACAGGGAGCTCTGGCGTGGGCTGGTCCATGAGGTCATGAAGAGTCGGAGGCGACTGAACGAATGAACAACAATGGGGCAATATGGATATGTGTGGTTTGATAAGTGTTATTAAGTAGTTGTTCTCAGCAGACTGAAAGCCAAAACCAAGGTTACAATAACATCTGTTATAGAACTCCAGTATGCTGATGACAACGTCATCTGTGCGCATTCAGAAGAAGACCTACAAGACACTCTAAACACCTTCGCTGAAGCATACAAGAAGCTCGGCCTATCACTGAACATCGAGAAAACCAAAGTGCTGTTCCAGCGGTCACCAGCCAATCCCTCACTAATGCCAGAAATACAGCTTAATGGGGCAACATTAGAAAATGTTAACCATTTCACTCTGACCAAAAGGTCATGAGTTCAAAGCCAGCCCGGGTTGGAGTGGGTTTCCAACCAATTGTGTGTAGCCTGTTGTCGACCTTTGCAACCCAAAAGACAGTTGCATCTGTCAAGTAGGAAAATTAGGTTCCACCTTAAAAAGTAAGGTAAAGGTAAAAGTAGTCCCCTGACATTAAGTCCAGTCATATCTGACTCTGGGGTGTGGTGCTCATCTCCATTTCTAAGCCGAAGAGCCAGCGTTGTCCGTAGACACCTCCAAGGTCATGTGGCCGGCATGACTGCATGGAGCGCCGTTACCTTCCCGCCGGAGCAGTACCTATTGATCTACTCACATTTGCATGTTTTCGAACTGCTAGGTTGGCAGAAGCTAGGGCTGACAGTGGAAGCTCACGCCGCTCCCCGGAATCGAACCTGCGACCTTTCAATCAACAAGCTCAGCAGCTTACTGCTTTAACCCACTGCGCCATCGGGGGCACCCCTTAAAAAGTACCACCTTAAAAAGAAGACTCCAACAAAGCATTCCAGTGGGGAAGCATGCGGGGAATGCGGAAGTGCTTCATCAGCGTCGCAGATGGACGATGAAAGCGACAGCTCCCCTGGTGGCCAGAAAAAGTTAAATGGCCTCTGTGTATGTCTGTATATGTTTGTATGTCAAAAATTGGCATTGAATGTTTGCCATATATGTGTACGCTGTAATCCGCCCTGAGTCCCCTGCAGGGTGAGGAGAAGGGCGGAAGAGAAAAGCTGCAAATAAATAAATAAATAAATTTCCGCTCCCTTGGCAGCCCCCTCTCCACCAAAGTCAACATCGACACCGAAATACACCACCGCCTGAGCTCTGCGAGTGCAGCATTTTCCCGAATGAAGCAGAGAGTGTTTGAGGACCGGGACATCCGTAGGGAGACCAAGGGGCTTGCTTATAAAGCTATTGTCCTCCCAACCCTGCTATACGCCTGCGAGACGTGGACTGTCTACAGACATCACATGCAACTCCCGGAACGATTCCATCAGCGCTGCCTCTGGAAAATCCTGCAAATCTCTTGGGAAGACAGGCAGGGAAATGTCAGCATGCTGGAAGAAGAAGCAAAGACCACCAGCATTGAAGCGATGATCATCTGCCAATCACTCCACGTTGTCCAGATGCTCGACTACCATCTCCCAAAGCAGGTGCTCTACTCCGAACTCAAGAACGGAAAACGGAATGTTGGAGGACAGGAAAAGAGATTGAAAGATGGGCTCAAAGCCAACCTTCAAAACTCTGGCATAGACACTGAGAACTGGGAAGCCCTGGCCCTTGAGCGCTCCAGCTGGAGGTCAGCTGTGACCAGCAGTGCTGCAGAATTTGAAGAGGCACAAATGGAGAGCGAAAGAGAGAAACGTGCCAAGAGGAAGGCGCATCAAGCCAACCCCGACCGGGACCGCCTTCCGTCTGGAAACCGATGCCCTCACTGCGGGAGAAGATGCGGGTCAAGAAGAGGGCTCCACAGTCACCTATGGACACTAAAAATGTCGTGTTTTGCTGATGTGTTATTTCCAATGGTTTTGTATTGTACTTTTATTTTTTTTATTTTCCTTGTTTACTGCTGAGTTGATTTACTGATGTATGTATCGTCTGGCTTGGCCTCATGTAAGCCGCCCCGAGTCCTCCTGGGGAGATGGTGGCGGGGTATAAATAAAGCATTATTATTATTATTATTATTATTATTATTATTATTAAGTACCTTCAAGGACGAAGCTGCTAGTTCAACAGATGACTCTTCGAGGCCTAGATCCCGCCTTCTTTCCGCTCGGACCTCAGCATAACTGGAAGGGAAAAGGGAAAAGGAAAGGAGTTTGCAATGCAACAAATGCCAATGTCATTATGTTTTCTATTTGCATTCTCATTTCTTCATCTGAAGTGTCTACTACAGGTCCAGCATCCCCTGCCTTGAATCCCAAAATCCAAAGGGCACAGAAATTGTCCATCTGAGCGGCTGAGATAACTGATACCTTTGCTTTCTGATGCACCAAACATACAAAATTCTATATATATAGACCTTGACATTTGGGAGTTGTAGTTGCTGGGATTTACAGTTCACCTACAATCAAAGAGCATTCTTTTTATTTATCGTGTCAATGCAACCAGTCGATTATATTACATTTCTAACAGAAAAAAGGAAAAAAAACCAGAAAAATACAAAATTTGTGAGTTTGGAAGTTGATTAGATGTCCTTTGACCAGTCTCTGGCCCCTTGGAGTGCCTCTGGTGTTGCCGCAAGAAGGTCCTCCCTTGTGCATGTGGCAGGGCTCAGGGTGCATTGCAGCAGGTGGTCAGTGGTTTGCTCCTCTCCGCACTCGCATGTCGAGGATTCCACTTTGTGGCCCCATTTCTTGAGGTTGGCTCTGCATCTCGTGGTGCCAGAGCGCAGTCTGTTCAGCGCCTTCCAAGTCGCCCCGTCTTCTGTGTCTCTCATTTGGTATCAGCCATGGATTGAGGTTCTGGGTTTGAGCCTGCCACTTTTGGACTCTTGCTTGCTGGGGTGTTCCAGCGAGTGTCTCTGTAGATCTTAGAAAACTATGTCTTGATTTAAGTCGTTGACGTGCTGGCTGATACCCAAACAGGGATGAGCTGGAGATGTCTCTGCCTTGGTCCTTTCACTATTGGCTGCTACTTCCCAGCGGATGTCAGGTGGTGCAACACCAGCTAAGCAGTGTAATTTCTCCAGTGGTGTAGGGCGCAGACACCCCGTGATAATGTGGCATGTCTCATTAAGAGCCACATCCACTGTTTTAGTGTGGTGAGATGTGTTCCACACTGGGCATGCGTAGTCAGCAGCAGAGTAGCACAGCGCAAGGGCAGATGTCTTCACTGTGTCTGGTTGTGATCCCCAGGTTGTGCCAGTCAGCTTTCGTATGATATTGTTTCTAGCGCCCACTTTTTGCTTGATATTCAGGCAGTGCTTCTTGTAGGTCAGAGCACGGTCCAGAGTGACTCCCAGGTATTTGGGTGCGCTGCAATGCTCCAGTGGGATTCCTTCCCAGGTAATAATCCTCAGAGGTCGGGATGCTTGTCTGTTCTTAAGGTGAAAGGCACATGTCTGTGTTTTAGATGGATTAGGGATCAGCTGGTTTTCCCTGTAATAGGCAGTAAGAGCACCTAGAGCTTCGGAGAGCTTCTGTTCAACCATCTCAAAGCTCCCTGCTTGAGCGGTGATGGCACGTCATCAGCATAGATGAAACTCTCTGTCCCTTCTGGCAGTGGCTGGTCATTTGTGTAGATGTTAAACATGGATGGAGCAAGCACGCTCCCCTGAGGCAGGCCGTTCTTCTGTTTCCGCCATCTGCTTCTCTGGCCCTGGAACTCAACAAAAAAGCTCCTGTTCTGCAGCAGGTTTCCTATGAGGCGGGTGAGGTGGTCGTCCTTTGTGATACTATACATTTTTCTCAGGAGGAGGCGGTGGTTCACAGTATCATAGGCTGCTGACAGGTCTATGAAGACAGCTCCTGTGATCTGCTGCCTTTCAAAAAGAGCATTCTGAACTCCACCAATGATGGAATTGAAGCAAATATGGCATACAGGACTTCCATGACTAACAGAACACACTGGAAGGGTTTGGTGGGCATTGACCTTGAGTTTGGGAGTTGTAGTTCACCTACATCCAGAGAGCACTGTGGACTCAAACAATGATGGATCTGGACCAAACTTGACACGAAAATTCCATATGCATAAATATGAACACAGATGGAGTTTGGGGGAAATAGACCTTGGCATTTGGGTGTTGTAGTTACTGGGATTTATAGTTCACCTTCAATCAAGGAGCATTCTGAACCCCACCAATGACAGAATTGGGCCAAACTTCCCACACAGCACCCCCCGGCCATCCAGTCCAACTCCCTTCACCAGGTCAAGAAAACATAATCAAAGCCCTCCCCAGATAGGACCACCCAGCCATAAATATAGATAGATAGATATGATTCTCTCTCACACACACAGATATAGTATCATAGAGTTGAAAGAGACCCTTAAAGAAGGACAATGATATGTTGCATATTCCAGAGAAGGCAAACCAGACAGTCTCCACGTCAACACTGACAAAGAAACAACAAGAAATACTGTTTACCCAAATGCATAAAGAAATTACATATATTAGAAACCAATACTTTCTCATTACTTTATTTTCCAGATCACCAGACTGGGCCGGAGCAACGCCTGGCAGGGGACAGCTAGTGGTTTTATCTAAGCGAGTATCTCAGGGATCCGAAGGGGACGGTGTCCTTACCTGACCACCGTGTGGGTGCAGACAATAAATTCGGGCTTGGAGTTCCACTGATGGTAGGTGATGTAGTAGTGGGTTTGCAGCCATATCCACTGCTGCCCTTTGGTCAGGAATCGGTAGTAGCAAGACTTCCCTTTGCCAAACTGCATCACTGTGGACGTAGAAAGAACAACGGGTTTCGTTAAACACGTGGAACCTGGAAAGGGATTTCTTGGACTGCTCCTCCCAACGTCCCTCGTGGAAAATACCCTAAAATATATAGAAGAGCACCCAAAAACAAACAGGATACCTCTAGTTGAGAATGTAGAGGTTAGGAAAGCAAACATGCAGAGTCCAATCTTAAAAAAAAATCACAAAAGGTTTATTTACAACTAGCTGTATTTATTTATTTACTTATTTATTTACAGATTTTCTATTCAGCCCTTCTCCTCACCCCGCAGGGGACTCAGGGCGGATTACAGCGTACACATATATGGCCAACATTCAATACCAAGTTTTGACATACAAACATATACAGACATACACAGAGGCTATATAACTTTTTCTAACCACCAGGGGAGCTGTCGCTTTCCTCGTCCATCTGCGACGCTGATGAAGCACTTCCGCATTCCCCACATGCTTCCCCGCTGGAATTTTTTTTATGGCCTCATAAATCAGTTAATTTAGCCTCCCCACACTTTAAGGTGGTACCTAATTTTCCTACTTGACAGATGCAACTGTCTTTCGGGTTGCAAAGGTCGATAACAGGCTACACAATTGGTTGGAAACCCACTCCAACCCGGGCTGGCGTCGAACTCATGACCTTTTGGTCATCACACATTGCTCTGGCCAACCTTCCCTCCCTCCTTCTCTCCTTCCTTCTCTTCCTCTTCCCTTCCTTCCCCCCTTTTCTTTCCCTTCCTCTTTCTCTCCTTCCTTCCTTCTCTACCTATTCTTGTACTGCAACTCCCCACAGTCCTCCTACTCAATCTACCTACCTACCTACCTACCTACCTTTATCTAATCTATCTATCTTATCTATCTGGTTCATAGTTATTTTTCTGAGTATTTTTGTGAATATTTTTGTGTATATATTTTATGCAGATAATTTTGTGATTACTTTTGTGAATAGGTTCGTGGTTATTTTTGTGAATATTTTTGAGTATATATTTTATTGAATAGTTTCCTGATTTTTTGATGAATATTTTTGTGTATATATTTTATGTGGATATTTTTGTGATTATTTTTGTGAGTAGGTTCATGGTTATTTTTGTGAATATTTTTGTGTATGCATTTTACGTGAATATTTTAGTAAATAGTTTCCTGATTTTTTGTGAATATTTTTGTATATATATTTTATGCGGATATTTTCATGATTATTTTTGTGAATGTTTTTGTGAATATTTTTTGTATATATTTTATGTGAATATTTTAGTGAATAGTTTCCTGATTTTTTTGGTGAATATTTGTGTGTATATATTTTATGCGAATATTTTCATGATTATTTTTGTGAATTTTTTTGTGTATATATTTTATGCAAATATTTTAGTGAATAGTTTCCTGATTTTTCTGTGAATACTTTTTGTGTATTTTTTTTGTGTATATATTTTATGTGAATATTTTAGTGAATACTATCCTGATTTTTTTGCTGAATATTTTTGCGTATATATTTTATACGGATATTTTTGTGATTATTTTTGTGGATAGGTTCATGGTTATTTTTGTGAATATTTTTTGTTTATATATTTTATTCGAATATTTTCATGATTATTTTTGTGAATATTTTTGTGTATATATTTTATGTGACTATTTTAGTGAATAGGTTCCTGATTTTTCTATGAATATGTTTGTGAATATTTTTGTGTGTATATATTTTATGCAAATATTTTCATGATTATTTTTTGTGAATAATTTTGTGTATATATTTTATGTGAATATTTTAGTGAATACTTTCCTGATTTTTTTTGGTGAATATTTTTGTGTATATATTTTATGCGGATATTTTGGTGATTATTTTTGTGAATAGGTTCATGGTTATTTTTGTGAATATTTTTTGTGTATATATTTTATTTGAATATTTTCATGATTATTTTTTGTGAATGTTTTTGTGAATATATTTTATGTGAATATTTTCATGATTATTTTTGTGAATATTTTTGTGTATATATTTTATGTGAATATTTTAGTGAATAGTTTCCTGATTTTTTTGGTGAATATTTTTGTGTATATATTTTATGCGGATATTTTGGTGATTATTTTTGTGAATAGGTTCATGGTTATTTTTGTGAATATTTTTTGTGTATATATTTTATTTGAATATTTTCATGATTATTTTTTGTGAATGTTTTTGTGAATATTTTTGTATATATTTTATGTGAATATTTTCATGATTATTTTTGTGAATATTTTTGTGTATATATTTTATGTGAATATTTCAGTGAATAGTTTCCTGATTTTTTTTGGTGAATATTTTTGTGTATATATTTTATGTGAATATTTCATGATTATTTTTTGTGAATGTTTTTGTGAATATTTTTGTGTGTATATATATATATATTATGCGAATATTTTCATGATTATTTTTGTGTATATATTTTATGTGAGAAGGGAAGACTGAGAGGTGATGCAATTGCTATCTTGACATATCCGAAGGGATGTCGTGGAGAAGATGGGGCCAGATTGTTTCCTGCAGCTCCAGACTGTCGGACAAAGGACAATGGATTTGGTTCACAAAAGAGAGAGGAGATTTGACCTAAACATGAGGAAGAGTGCAAGAGACTACCTTGGAGGGAGGCCGGATTTGGAGATGCCCAAGGAGAGCGAGCTCAAAGGGAAGCAAACTGCAAAACTTGGCAGGGAGTTAAATATGCCTCTTAATCTGGTTAATGAGAACATCCAGCACACGGTGTAATAGGTCATGCAATGGAGGCTCTGCCAAGCGCTTGCTGGGGTGAGCTTTGCAGAAGAGATCACTTTAATTCTTGCTCCTTTCGCCCCATCTCGATGGAGGTTGAAGGTGGAAATCAAAGGCAACCAAGCCTTGGTGGGTTGCCCTAGTTACCATCCCCGAGAGCCGGAGAAAGAGAGCTTCTTTGTGTAATCCCAAAACGATGGATGAAGGAGAGAGAAAGAAGATGGAGGAGGAGGAGGAG